GGACTCAGAATATAGTTAAAAATGGAAAGAAAATGTTAAAATGAGTATGACTGATTACAGTGAGGCCACAGATACATTAAGCTATGTCAAGACCTCGTTGACTCTTCTGTGGAAAGAATTATGCATATTCTAATTGAATGAAACTTTAAGAACTTTTAGTAATGATTTACACAATAAGCCTGATACATAGTAGCACTTAATAAATGCTTTGTTAGGTAAGACAGGTATAATCCTCACTTAACAGATAAGGAAACTAAGAGGCTCAGATATTTGTTGAAGATCACACAGCTATAAATAGCTGTGGATGGCATTTATGTAGTACTTTAAGGTTTGCAAAGCACTTTACAAATATTATCTCATTTTATCCTCACAACCACCCCAGGAGGGAGGTGCTATTATTATCCCCATTTAACAGATGGGGAAACTAAGGAAGAAAGAGGTTAAGGGGATTGCCCAGGCTCACACAACTCTTTTGTGTCTCAGGCTGGATCTGCACTCAGGTTTTCCTGACTCTGGGTCCAATGCTCTACCCAATGAGCCACGTAACTACTGACAGCTAGTCAGTTTGAGACTTGGACTTGGATCTTTTGACTCCATGATACATCGTGTTACACTACAGGGAAGTGTTCTTTCTAACAAAATTATTTTATATCCCACAGAAAGAATGCTTTGTTTATCTGGTTATAAAGTATGTCCTGAAATATTTCCTCTAATCAATGAAATGAGTTTAGTGGAAATAGCCTCAAATCAAATCCCAGCTCTATGAACAGGCAGTTATGGGTGACTTAATCATTCTGAGCTTCAGTTCTCTGCGTAAAATTGAAAGTGAGAGTTGACAAGCATATAGTGAATGCCTACTATGTGACAAGCAAGTCCTGTGCTAGGCACTGGTGAGAAAGACAAATATTCATAAGAGTCTATGCCCTTCAGGAGCTGATGTTAAAATTTGTGTTCAATGCCTGTTACCTACCTCCACCAACAGGGCTGGTATGGGGAAAATAACTAGTTATTATTAAAAGCCATTTAATATAATAAAATACTTGATGGTGTTACCATATCCACAGTATGTTGTGAGAAGAGGCTCTGGAGTCTTTACAGTTCAACCTACAAATATCTGTTGAGAATCTCCATGGAAGGCACTGTGCCTGCTGCAATAGTTATTTCTCTGCAAACGAGTATATGTTACTTTTAAAATCCTTCATATCTTTTTTTGTTTGTTTTTTTGGTGAGACAATCAGGGTTAAGTGACTTGCCCAAGGTCACACAGCTAGTTAAGTGTCTGAGGCCACATTTGAATTCAGGTCCTCCTGACTCCAGGGCTACAGCTCTATCCACTGGACCACCTAGCTGCCCCAAAACCCTTCATATCTTACCATCACAAAAATTCCAACTTACATGAAAGAGGGGGAAAAAACCCTGATCCCCTAGTCACACAACAAAATGAAATACCTTCAAAAAGATCTTGAAAATTGAGTTAGAAAGGTGTGAAAGCCAGATGATTGCTAGCAATGTGATAATATAAAAAACCAAGATCAAAATCATACTGATTTGTTAGATTCTGGAACCTTGATAGTCATTTCTCAATTATCCACACTAATGGAGGGGTATATAGCATAATTAATCCGAAACTACTTCTACTTGTTTTAGAGTTTACCACGAAGTTTGGGGGGGGGTGTACGTGTATGTGTGTGTGTGTCCGTATGTGTGTGAGATCATTCGAGTGACCATAATTATATTCTGCTTATTCTGACATTATTAAATTAGACAATAGGGATATGCTTGGTGATGGGAAAAAGCAGCTCTGATATTAAAATCTGTTGTGGAATTTGCAATTAATATGAAGTCAGGAGCACTTGTTAACATAAAGAATGGCAAACTCAAAATCCAAAAAGATCCTGACGAGTTAAAATACAGGGCCAAACCTAACAACATTAGGGATAAATGCAAAATTTTGCACTTGAGTTCAAGAAATCAACTTTACAAGTATAAGATGAAGGAGGCATTAATAGATGCCAGTTCCTGTGAAAAAAGATCTGAAAGTTTCATAAGACTTCAAACTCATTAAGAAATGAATGATATGGCAGAAAAATAAGCTAATAGAATTTAAACAGCTTTAAGAAGCAGCTGTTTAGGACTAGGGAGGTGACAGGTCGATCATTTTCTGGCTTGGTCAGACACATACATACACATATTTAAGGCTTGCAAGGCCTTTTACAAACATCTCCTGTGACCCTACAACAATCTTGTGAGATAAGTTCTATGGATTTATCATCATCATTGTACATATGGTATCTTATAACTGGGTGATATTACGTGAATATTTCTTTAGCTTAGAGAAAACTATGGGGAGAAATAAAGAGGGGGCATGGTTGTTGCCTTCAAGCATTTGAAGGGTATCACCTAGAAGTGAAATGGCACCTGTTCTGTTTGGCCCCAGTAGGCAGAGAAGCAATTTGGGGAAATTTTAAAAAGTATATTTAGTCTCCATCTAAGGAAACATTTCCTAATAATTAAAGTTATCCTAAAGTTAAATGGGATAGTAGATTCCCTATCACCACAGGTGTGATAGGATGACCATTTATTGGTACACTGCAGAAGAGAGTCTGCCCAGGTACGAGTTAGATTAACTGGCCTCTGAGGATCTTTCCAACTCTTGAGATTGTGATATTTTATCAACTTTTGTGAATAACAATTAATTTAAACATTAGTCAACATATTTATTTAATAATCCTATATAACAAATGATTTCTCTGGTTTATGTTCTTAAAAATCATTCTCTATTAAAAATAAATAACAGATGGTATACTATATGTATAGTATATTCAAAGACATTTCAATTTGCTCTTATCAAATGAATTTCCCTAAATTATCAGTTTTAGATTCTCAAACCATTTTTAATTAAAAGGATATACTATGTCCCTTGTTTAGCACTCTCTAGTGCATAGTAGCTGACTAATGAATACTTGCTGAATGAGACTTACCCCACATGACAGGAAAGCAGCAAAATGCTAAAAGAGTATGTTTTGTGTACAACAGAATCTGTGAATGTCCAAATCCTTTTGCTGCACAGAAATTTTGCTGTAATTCTTACTTCATAAAATTAAGTTGGCCATTGTTTGGGGACTGGAAAAATTTTTATCAATGACTTGCATTTTAAGTTATCAGCATTAATAAGAACCAATTTTCAAATAAGAGAAATCTTAGTGCTTAAAGAGCACTTTAAAGATTTAAGTCTTCAGCATCAATTCAACTTCTATTGGAAAGCATGTGTGAGTCTATCCATGGAACCAGACCTAAGAAAACAGGTTCTACTTTTCAATCTTCTCTATTTTTGATACCTACCAATATTTAATGAGTCCCCACAGCATGTGTGAGGACTACAGCAGGAACTATCTAAAGATGCAGACCAAAAAAAAAAATCAGAAACCACCAGGAATTGAGCCATTCTCAGAAAAAGATCTCATCTCACACACCCAGTAACACGGCCTTACTTGTATCTAAATTTCTCAATACTTTCACAAGTGAAACATTAAGTTAACTTCAAACAGCTGGATCAAGGGTGAGAGAAAACGGGGGACAGAGCACCGAAGAGATGAAAAGCGTTCTTCTTTGACCCGGCCAACGGAGAGAGAAACGACGATTCAGTTCCTGTGTCCACCTTCTACTGGCTCCTCAAACTTACTAGATGTTAACGAGAATGGCAAAAAGACCTAAATTATCCGCTCTCCACCTTTTAAAGAAAGGATGCTCAAGAGCTACATCCCAAGGGTTCGGAGCCTGGCTCCCACGGAAGGTGAGCCTGGGCAGGGCTCCCTGAGGGCAGGCACCCACAGCCTCGCCCAGTCGAGGAGTCCCGACAGACAGTCTCAGTCCTTCCTGAGAAAGGAGGGGCGGAAAAAAGAAGAAAAATAAATAAATAAAATGCCACCCGGACCAGGAAGTGACTCGCCCAGCAAAAGCCCCTGTCACGCCTAGAACTTGGGGAGTGGGACGGGGTGAAGGGGAGGCCAGAAAACAGGAAGGGGAGGGGAGAGGTGTCATATCACGACTTGTCGCGACTTCCTCCCTCCCCCCATATTTTGAACAGCCCGCGGACAGTATTTAGCAGGGGAGACTCCCGGCCTTCTGGGGGCCGCTGTTGAGTGGCCGCAGGGAGGGGCAGCGGCTCGGGTCCCGCCGGGAAGAAGAGAGAGGAGGAATGGGGAACTGGGGCCCCCGAGAGGCGGCGGGGAGCCCCCGGGGGAGAAGCCAGACAAGGTGCGCGCCCCGACTTCTGCCCTGCCCCGCGCAGACCCTTCTGTCTGGGGGCCCCCATCAAAGCCCCGATCCAGCCGGGTCGAACCCCCACCCTGTCGAGTCTCCAGTGGGGGGTGAGGGGAGGCGAGGGGCAGTCCAGTACCTACCTTCTCCTCATCCGACACCCGATCCTCGAAGTCGGCCATCTTGGGCTGCTCTGGCCCAGCCCGGCGGCTCGCGCGAAGCAAGCCGGGAAGGAAGCGGGATGACTGAACCCAACGTAGGGGGTGGGGAGACTTCCGGAAACTCGGTCCGCTGCTGCGCCATGTTCGTTAAGGGCACTAAGCGGAAGACCCCGGGAGGCCGTGCTTGTTTCGGACAGTTCCCAAGCCATTCATTTTCTCCTTCTCGCACTGAGTAGCACTGACGGGCCCAGAAGCCACAAATCTTGGGTCAGCCGGCTGGCAGTGACTCGTCCCCATGTGCGGGGCTCATGATAACCACCCCCGTTGCCCTCAGTCCAAAGCACGGCTTACTCCACGGCTGCTAAGGGGGCTGGGGAGTGTCAGTGGAGATTCAATATCAGCAAAGCTAATGCTAATCAACTCCTCAGAATGGGGACGCGAACTTCAGTCCCGTCCACGTAGGGAGAGGGACGTCGACGTTTCTTCCCCCCAACCCTTCCCCAAGGATCTAGGGCTAGAAGGGAAGGCTCATCTCGTCTTCCCCCGGCTCCCTAGGGTGCCCTCATCACTGTCCGCTCTTCCTTCAGGTCCGCCGCTATCCCAGGATTCCCGCCGCCGCCTCCGCCTCCTCTTTCCCGAGCGTCCGCGGGACGTGCAAGATGGCGGATGGCGGCGAAGCGGCGGCCTCTGCAGCGCCTACTCCTCCCCCTCCCGAGGGCCCCGGCTCATGCGCGGGCTGGGCCCAGCGCCTGCGGGCCGGGCTGGCGGGGGCCGGTGGCTCGCTGTGGGTCTTGGCCGGCCTGGGGTTGCTTTACGCTTTGAGAGCTCCCCTGAGGCTGTGTGAGAACCTGGCGGCGGGTGAGAGGCCACAGCCGCCCTGAGGCGGGGTGGGGGAGCCCCGGGGGTGGAGGGTGAGCGGAGGCGGGCGGGCGCCGGGTCCCTAGGGCGCGGGGCGGAGGAGGGAGGGGCAGGGGAGAGGGGAAGGGGGGCGCTCCCTTCCGGGACGTTCCCCCCTCCGCCCCGCCGCGGCCTGCAGCTGATTGTCAAACTGGAGCCCGGGCTGAGCCGGCGCGGGCTCCTCCCCTTCCCTGCCCGCGCTCCGCTTTCCGCGAGGAGAGCCCGGGGCAGGTTGTCACCCATCATTACCGACACTCCCTCCGTGCTCTTTAACCCTCGGCTGCCGAGGGCTTGGCTGGCGTGTCCTGCGGCTGTCTCTCGGTCCCGGCAGCCCCATTTTACCCATGAGGACGCGGGGAGAGGCGAAGCGATCCCGCAGCCCCCAGCACATTGCCTGGCGTCAGTGCATATTGATGGATATTGGGCAGAAACTAATTTGGAGGTGTTCTTTGACTTTACCTCCACAACACCTAACATGGAACTTTGCACGTAGCAGAAGCTTAATAAATGCGAACTGTTTGTGCAGGTTTAAATTTTAATCCCTATTAAAGCTTAAATTTAAGATAAAAAAGCCTAAAACTTTGGGGACACCCTGTATTTATTGCATTGCACCATCACACCTGTCCTCTTTTTTAAATTATTTTTTTTTTAATAATCAGAAATCTGACTTCTCTCCCTACCCTGGTTGGGGGTGGGGGACTTGAAGGATTAATGTCATACCAGTTCTTAAAAGATTTCTTAAGGGGGGTTGCCATAAGCCAGAAGTCTCAGACTGGCAACACTCCTGAGTGCCTGAACCAGGTTAAAACTATTGGGATATTTAACGAAGCAGATAAAAATACAATAAAATATACGTAACATTATCTTTTAAAACTGAGTCAATATGCAGCCCTCCAGGATCCGTGTGGATGGATTAGGACTGCTCTCTGTATTTGACTCCATTGCAACAATCTCAACAAGTTAGTGATTTTTGTGTTTGATGGCATGTACTGTCAAGAAGTTCATTCAGTAGATAAGTAATGAAATCCTGTTCTGTGTAAAGGTAGCTGGGTACAGTAGAAAGCACACTGTATTTATGGTTAGTTAGAGAACTTGAGTTTGAATATTTACTGCCTCAGTGACCTTGAACACTCATTTCATTTCTTTGGCCTAATTTTTCTCATCTATATAATGGTGAGTTTGCATCTTTTAGCTCCAAATCCTTTGATTCTTGTCTTGTAAGAAACTTTTTTGAGAGGCAGCAAGTTTCAAGGTATGATGCTTAGAGAGCAGACTTTAGATTCAGGGTTAACTGGGCTTAACTCTTGAGTATGAAACATATTACCTGTGTGACCCCGGACAAGTCATTGGACTGCTCAACTCCCCGAGGAACTCTTGAGATTGTAAGTTGTTGAGCAACTCATTACTAGTCCTTTTTGGTAGAAGGAATTTCCTCACCAGGAATTTCTTACATTGATTAAATCACAGGCTTGGACCAAGGTACTGTAACCAATACAAAGAAAAGTAAGATGTGATCTTTGCCATTATGGAAAGGACATAATCTGTAATAATAAAGCATAAATTGTAATACAAGGTAGGATATGAAAGTAAAATGAAAATGACAAGAAGATATTGGTGAAGATCAAGTACATTTGAGCTGGGCCAGGGTTGAAGTGGAGGAGGGAGGACACTCCACACAGGGAACATTAGAAACAAGACTCACAGGTGGAAAATTCAAGACTAGGTTTGAGAAGAACAAAGATGCCTTCCTGCTGCCCAGGAAGTTGTTTTCCCGAGGTTCCTGCCTAGTCTTAATTATTCTTTATTCTGGGCCGTAGTGTGATGTAGTTCAAGAAATAAGCAGAACCACAAACAATAAATGAGTCAAGCAAACGTTGTTCTGTGGTGCAATGAGAGAATAAAATAGTCACTTGCATTAGAAGTTGAATGAATCTGGTCTTATCAATTCACTTTGCTGCATTCATACGCTCAGTATTTGCAGTATTCTCTGAGGACAAATTTCCATCCCTCATTTTAACCATACATGCTCTATTTTACATATCATATTTGACTTTTAATTTTTAAAAAAACTTCCTTCTTAAAACTTAGAGTGTTTAAGAAAAGGTATTTCCTGAAGTAAATGTTTCATGCAGGGGTGGGCAATCTGTGGCCTCAAGGCCACATGTGGCCCTCTAGGTCCTCGAGCAAGGCCATGTGTGGCCTTGAGGCCTTAGGTTCCCCACCCCTGGCTTAGTTCATTATTTAGTCTTCAAGGACAATACCAAAGTCAAAATCATTCTCAGAGCTCTTTCTGCTACATTTATTATTGATTTATTTTGATTCTCTACCCCAGAAAGACTTTCTCAGAATGAATGGTTCCTGATTCATGCCTTCCATTTTCTAGGTCAAATTTTAGCATTCTTTTTTGAAAAAATAAGTATGTCAGCAAAACAATTAAGGAGTGACTTGGTGTCTCTAGTAAAAGCTCTGTCTGAGGGAAGTTTAGTAAGCTGTCCATCCACTTAGAAAAGTAAATATAATTGAGTATGACTAAGAGATTATTGGTTTCCTTTACAAAAGCAAGCACTTTTGTAATGCTTCTTGGAATTCCACAAATTAATGACATAAAATTCTAAGAAGATTAGATTTTAATTCTGCCTTGATTTTAATTCTGCATAAGAAGTAATAACAAAATGGAAGCTATTGGTTTCCAGTAATCTTTTTGGAATTTGCATTTTTTCAAAATGAGATTTTTCTACATTAATGACTCTTATTCATATGTACATTTGTGTTTTCATCCTCCTTAAATATATCTCAGAATTTGAGTGTTTTTTCACTTGGACATTATTTTCTCGTTGCAGTGACAGCATTTTTAAATTCTTTGACTCCAAAATTCTATGTGGCACTAACAGGGACATCATCTCTAATATCTGGACTAATATTTGTAAGTAGTTTGTATTTTTTTCATTCATGTTGTGCATTTATTAGTGCAAATCTTGAAAAACAGATGATGGCAAAGTAAATTGTGAATGTGTAAAAATCTGAAAAAAGCAGGAGTATAGCATGTTTATACTAGTGAACTCTTCTTATTTCTCCTCTCTAGGTGGTGCTCTCCAGCTGTAGTAGAAATAATGATGTTTAGCTGTACCAGATGTTTCACAGTAACTTTAGTGTATTGACCACTGAATTAAAGTGAAAAGCTGGTCATAAGACATGGATTACTTTGATTCATTTTTGTGCATTATTAAGGAATCCAGAGTAAAAGCTAAGTGTGAAATACAGGCCTCAAAATGAAATTATTTGTAAATTTTATTCATGGTTAAACATATACTAGACAAGCATAAAATATATCTAAATGTTGTACCTGAAAGCAGTGGGTTTTTAATATGCAAAAGAAGGTAAATTTACATAAACTTTCGATAGCAGCTTTAAATAAAAACATGAGTATTCAGAGTTAAATCTATTTTGTTCTGATTCTAGGTATGTATGAAATAACAGCTAAAGGTTGTTCCTAAAACCAATGGGTTTTCAAGTAAAGTTTCTATGGTTATCTTTAACTCTCATTCTACACGTTGTAAATTAGTATTCGTTGTATAAGACCATGTGTTTAATAATTCCATGTATGTACATATTTTGAGAGAAGTTGTGAAAAAATATGATAATATAACACCAGTGTAGTAATTAAAAATCAGTAGGAGCCAACATTTTATAGTATTGTAGTTGTTGCAAAAAAAAAAAATCATTGGTAGTTCATTTGGTGAAGGACAGTTTGTTTTTCCTGACTTTGAAGCAATCAAATTTTAATTTTTGTGTCTCCTGAACAATTTTTACTTGTGAAATGTTTTCTGTTTTAAAGAATTTTCTTCCTACTTCTTAGGAAGATGCTAAAGTGGGACCACGTTCAGTGATTATTAACTGCCTGTTGCCTTGGTAGGAAGAGAAGTCGAATTAAGCCATTTCAGGTCAAGCATGAAACAGCTGTAGTATGGTGGCAGAAAAGGAGCCAACCTGAGTTCCAGCTCTGCACACAGTCTTACTGCTGGTAGTTTATCAACTAGTAGAAGAGTTGAGACATATAGACAAATAATTGTGTTACAAGGTGTAATAAAGTTCCTGACAAAATGCTTTAATAAATTTGAGGAGGAAAAGATCATTTTGGGACTGGGAGAAGGAATCCAGAAAGGCTTCATGGGGAGGTGACACCTTAGCTGGGCTTTGAAAGAAGAGAAGGATTTTAAACAGGTGAAGAAGATATGAGAATGTATTCCAGGCATCGGGGAAGGTAGAAGCAAAGGCCTGAATGAGTGTACTGATGCAAAGAAAACAGTATGAGGTTGGGGAATAGCTTGGAGTTCTATTTGGTTGAAGCATGGATACGTGCAGTAGGTTGAAGCTAGATTGCAGAAGAAGACCTTAAGTGTTAGGCTAAAAAGTTTGAATTTTATTTTCTAAGCCCTGGAAAGCCACTGAATATTTTTAAGCAGCAGTGTTTTGGACAGCAGACTTATACATTAGATTGATTATTTTGATAGCTATGTGAAAAATGAAATGGAGGAGAAAACTGAGAGACCATTTAGAAGATTATTTTAGTATTCTATGTAAGAGATGACTAGGGCCTGAACTTGAATGGTAGTCAAATTAATAGAGATGAAGGGATGGATGTGGGGGATGTTTTAGAGGTAGAATTGACAATACTTGCAAGTATTTGGATGTGGGTGGTGAGCAAGAAAGAATAGTCAATTATACCAAGTTTTCCAGTCAAGATGATGGGAAATTGTATTTATTTATATGAATTCGTTTTTAGTGTGCTGGAAAATGACGGTTTAAACCCTGAGTTTGTCTAACATATTTGTCATAATGCCTATTAAAGCAAAAAAAAAATTACTGAAGTTTTGGAAGATTTTATTTTTTCAGACATCCATCTACTTGACGTATTTGTGGTTATATGAAAAGTTTAAGAATGGTTGTGATTTTGGTTGTGGGTAAGCTTTATATTTTAAATAAAAGAAAAGAACACATTTACCAGAAGAGTGTCTCTTCAGTTGGTTGTTTGAAAGAAATGTACATATATGAGAGCCTCTTATATTAAATTTCTGCAGTCAAGATGTAGAAAACTTCATTTTGAAGTGTGAATATGAAATCTGTGGTAGGATAGCAAGATAGTTCATAGAATGTTGACTTTGGATTTAAGAAGACCTGTCTCTGACATTGATTAACTATGTGACCCTGGTTAAGGTATTTTAACCTGCGTGTATCTCAGACAACTCCTTAGGATGTATCTACTAAGGTATAGATCAGTTGCCATCTGAGTAGTGAAGGGAATTCCCATACTTGGAGTTCCCCATGATGAAGAAATCATAGATCCTTTGAACATTCCTGTATATATGGAATCATAGATTTAGAGCTGGAAGACACCTGAGAAGTCATCTAGTCCTTCCTCCTTTTGCAGTTGAGGACTGAAGCCAGAAGTCATGAAATACCAGAGCTGGGATTCAAATCTAGGAGCTCTGACTTAGAGCTCTTTCTGTTACTCTGTGTGTGTGTGTGTGTGTGTGTGTAATTTGATAAAATTAGTTTGGTCATTTTCAGAATAAAGGGCACTTTAATGTTGGAATATAAACCATTGTGATGACTTGCCTGCAGATTTTTGCTTTGGAGTTATTGATTGCTTTTGGTATCCTGTAGAAACAGGTAGGAGCAGCTAGGTGGCACAGTAGATAGAGCACCGGCCCTGGAGTCAGGAGGACCTGAGTTCAAATTGTTCTCAGACACATAATACTTCCTAGCTACGTGATTCTGAGCAAGTCACTTAACCCCAATTGCCTCACTTAAAAAAAAAAAAGAGAAAGAAAAAGAAAAAAAAAGAAACAGGAAAGCTGTGACTACTGTGTTTGATAAATGTGTTCAATGGGGAACTTCAACTGTTCTGAATTAATACTTTTTAAAAAATTACAGCTATTTCAAAATGATTTTGTTCCTATCTTAAACTTTCTGTACCACTAATAGTGCAATCTAAAACAGGTGTTAGATTATTTAAAAGTTAAATTTGGGTGATGAAATAAATACAATTCCTGCCTTTACTGTTTTTGAAGTTTTTCATGGATTAAGTATCTTCTAGTTTAATTTGAAGTTGTTTAAAACTTGATGTTAACTCTTATGGCAAAGGAGATGTTTCTTTGTTTAGTATATTTTATTGGTTTTGTTTTAAGAACAAGATCTGGTTTAAAATACTGACTTAAATGGGAATAACTTTTAAAAAAAGGTCAATTTGACTTTGAGTTCGCAGTGACCATATCTGTCTTAAGTGCTGTTTTCTGTTTTTTTACAGATATTTGAATGGTGGTACTTCCGGAAGTATGGCACATCATTTATTGAGCAAGTATCTATAAGCCATTTGCGGCCACTTATTGGAGGGACAGAGAACAAAGAACCTTCTCCTTCTGGTAGCAGGGAAGCTGATACCAATAGACAAAATTTGTCAGGTGACTAATATGTCTAATCTTGATTTTTTTAAAGTACAAAATAGGCAAGTCTCTTTTTTTCCTCACTTTCTTTAGTTTTTATTTTTTTAAATTAAATTTTATTTTATTTTCGAATAAAGGTCAGCCTTCTCTCTCGCCCACTTGTTTTTTCCCCACCTCGAGGAAGGAAGCAAAACAAAACCCCTGTTACAAGTATGTATAGTTAAGAAAAACAAAATTTCTCATCGGTTACGTTTGAACAAAATGTCTCAATCTGCACTGAGTTGCTCACCTGTCTGTCAGGAGATGGGCAGCATATTTCATCATGAGGCCTCAGGATTTGTGGTTAGTCAATGTGTTGGTCACAGCTCCCAAGTTTTCTTTTTACATAAACACACACACACACACACACACATACACACATACATACACATACGTATGTATATATGTGTATATATACAAATACACATATATACTCACATATACACATACATATATAGACACACATATATATGCACATAAGTGTGTATAATTTTGTTTATTTTAATCTTCTAAGATCCTTCTAACCCTCTTATGCCAAGCTCCCCCTTCCCCCCATTGAAAACTCAAGAAAAACAAAAATCATTGTGTATGCATGTGTAGTCAGTCTAAACAAATTTCCACATTGGCCACATTCTAAAAAAATATTTGTCTCATTCTGCCCTCATTCTGTGCTCTTTTTCAAGAAGTGGGTAGCATGCTTCATCATTAATCCTGTGGAATCCTGGTTGATCATTAATAAGGTCAGTGATTAGAATTTAGCACAATAGTATTCTATCACATTTATATACCATAACTTGTTCATTCTCCAGTGGACAAGGACCAAAGGTTATCATTCCTTGCCACCTCAAAAAGAGCTATAATAAAATTTTATAATTCTTAGAATTTGTTTTGCTTGGGACTGATTACTCCCTTAGTCTACCTTCTCTCTAATTCCCACTCCTTCTTTTCCCCTTTCCCTTTGATTACACATTTGAGTGAAAGATATTTCTGTATGCAGCTCTGTGTGTGTGTGTTCGTGTGTGTGTATGTGTGTGTGTTCTTTCTCCTTTTGACCAGTTGAGATGAGAGTGAGGTTCAAGTGTCTACTTCTATCCCTTCCACATTTTTGTATAGATAACTACTTGGGGTTATGTGGTGTTCAAGGAGCACTAGCACCTCTGGTGTGAGGACTTGCAGAGCCCTTTTCGGGGCTGCTCATCTATCTTTGGTATCTACCTGGCACTCAGCTCTCTCACCTGTGGCTCCAAGAAGCTGTAGCATGCTCAGTGGCCACACCCCAGAAAACCTTTTCAGCTGACAAGCTAAACCAGGTTGAGGGTAACCTATGGGCCTCAAATCTGTTGGTGAGTTAGGGGGGTGTCTACTCAAGCATAAGAAGACTTCCCCCATGTGGAATGGGAAGATGAGAACAGTTTGTTCCAGTGGCACTGAAGGTGGCTGAAGCAGGCACTATGGAGAGCTTAGAGCATGGTCAGGAATTGAAGATGCCAGAGTCATCCATGCATCCCAGGCCATTGCCAGTCAACTTGACTTTTGTCTTGCCGCTGGACTTTGATGACTCTAGAAGAGAGAGTGAGGCTGCTGACTTTGTGCGACCATGCCTCACTAAATCCAGTTAATGCCAGTACATTACCTGTGATATCATTGGTCCACTTTGGAAATGAAGGACAAACAACTTGTGCACTCCGATTATGTGAGATGTTCTCCCCCCCTCCAGTATATCCCTCTTCTTCTCTTTTCATTCTTAGGATCATCAAGGCATGACAGGACTACTCTCAGGCCTTGTCTAATTGAATTTCCTAAAAGAGAGACATGTATCATCTCCCCATGTTTAAATGCTAGCAGTTTATTCTTGTTTAGTCCTTTATCATTGTTCATTCATGTTTACCTTTTTATCTTTCTTTTCACTTCTGTGTTTGTACTTCAGAGTTTCTCTGCAGCTCTAGTCTTTTGATAAGGAATGCTTGGAAGTCCTCTATTTTATTAAAGGCCCATTTTTTCCCCTGTAGCATTATATACAGTTTTGATGGCTAAGTTATTCTTAGCTATAAGCTGATATCCTTCTGGAATATTGTATTCCAAGCTCTCTGCTCCTTTATAGTGGTAACTGCTAAATTGTGTGTGATCCTGACTTTGACTCCTGTGTACTTGAATTCTTACTTTCTAATTGTTTGCAGTATGTTTTTTTCTTTTACCTTGAAGCTCTGGATTTTAGTTATGATGTATCTGGGAGTTTTCTTTTTAGTGTTTCTTTTATCTTAGGAGGTGGATTCTTTATGTTTTCACTTTGCCCTCTGGTTCTAAGATATATGGATAATTTTCTTTCATAATTTCTTGAAATATGGTGTTTAGGTTCTTTTTTTGATTATAACATTCAAAGTTCAATGATTATTAAATTTTTTCTCCTGGATCTATTTTCTAGGTCAGTTATTTTTGATATGAGATATCATACTTTTTTTCCATTTTTTCAGCCTTTTGGTTTTTTTTTTTTAATATTTCCTTTTGGCTCATGGAGTCATTGGCTTTATTTGGTCCATTCTAATTTTGTTTTATTTTGTTTTTGCTAGGCAATGGGGGTAAGTGACTTGCCCAGGGTCACACAGCTAGTGTCAGATGTCTGAGGCTGAATTTGAACTCAGGTTCTCCGGACTCCAGGGCCAATGCTTTATCCACTGAGCCACCTGGCTGCCCCCGTCCATTCTAATTTTCAGGGAGTTTGTTGCTTGGGCAAGGTTTTGTACTTTTTGTGCCAAGCTGTTAATCCCTTCCATTTCTTTCTTCCATAGCTCTCATTTCTTTTCTAGGTTTTTCTTCAAGCACTCTCATTCCATTTATAAAAACATTTTAAACTAATTTTTAAACTCAATTTATTTGTCTTAGGAGTTCTAGTTGAGTTTGTGCCCAAGGTATATTTTTCTCTGAAGCATGCTTATAGATATTTTGAAGTCATTCTCTTCTGTGCTTATGTGTTGGGCATCCTGTCACCATAATAGCTCATTATAGTCAGGGTCTTATTTACCCATTCTCCCAGCTTCCTTCCTGACTTTGGATGAGGTGTTAGGGCTGGGCTGTGTGGCACTTCCAGGTTGGTCCTGTTGCTGCTTTCTTGCGTAGGGAGTGTGGTGTTATTCTAGGATATCAGGGACACACTTGGGACCTGTTCCCTAAAGGGTCTGATCAAAGCCAAGTGTGATGGCTGCCCCCCTGGCCTGAGCCTGTGCAGGAGTAGATGCTACTGGACTCAGCATCCATCAGGCACCTGGAAAGCTCTGTTGGTTCAGAGAGGCTGCATGGTAGGCTCTCCTTTGGTTTGGAATTCCTTCCTTGGTTATTCTTCTGCAGGCTGGGCTATATGGGCCCTGCTTTGCTTCTGAGGTCTTGGCCATAACTGCTGCTGCTGGTGTGCAGATTTCTTTTTTCTCCATATACTGCCTGTGGCCTGCCTACCCAGGAATGGAAATGCCACTGGGCAGGTCCCCTTCTCACTCCACCCTGAATTTGTGACTAGAGATTGGGGAATGGATGATAAAGCTGCCAGTTAATACCTGTCAGAGTGCCACATTGCATCTGAGACCTTTTCTTGTGGTACACAGCCTCTCCCTAGGTGCTGTAGTGGTCACTTAACCTTGTCCCTAGTGCCCACCTTTCTGGTTGTCTCTCTATGCTCAGCTGTTCTGGACAAAGGACTCACTGTGATTATTTCTTATTTCCCTTGTCTGAGTTTTCTAAATCTGTTAGGAGGCGTTTGTGGAAAGGACTTTGACAGTTTTGCTTTCTATCACTCTACCATCTTTGCTCTGCCCTCCTCTGCTCTCTTTAAGGGAGCTGCAGTCCTCAGTTATGCATAGTCAGCTTTTAAATCTAGACTAACTTTCCCATATTATAAAATACATACTCTTTGTCCCCCCCTGCTGTTATTAGTCTAAATCAAACAGAATTAGGAAAAATTTATTGGGGCATGTGAAAAATGATTTATTCTATCACTAGACGTAGATGATTTGGGGATTATTGGCTTTGCTGCTTTCTTTCTATTCTACACAGATCATCTAATTCTATTGTAATAACATTTCAGAAGACTTGTGATTTAATTAGTATGGGTACTCTTCCCAGCAATGTAGCCCCCTACTTCCCCAGTCACACTTTAGTAGACAGTTTCCTGAGTCGCCATATCCAAGGAGTTCATGCCCATTGGTCAGTTTTATGGCGGTGAGCTTTTCTGAACTTAGATTGGGCTTTGAACAACAGTCCATCATCTATACTTGAAATATTTCTAGCAGGGTCAACTCTAAGTAAGAACTTGAACACTGCTAGCATAGCCTTTTGGAACCCAGGGATGCCACCATGCCACAATTAAACATTTGGGTTTTTGTTGTTGTTGTTGTTGTTCAATTGTTTCAGTCGTATGCGACTCTTTGTGACCCTATTTTGGGGTTTTCTTGGCAAAGATAGAGTGGTTTGTCATTTTCTTCTCTAGCTCATTTTATAGGTGAGGAACTGAGGCAAACAGGGTTAAGTGACTTCCCCAAGGCCACGTGGCTAGTAAATGTCTGAGGCCAGATTTGAATTCATGAAGATGATTCTTCCTGATTTCAAGCCCAGTGCTGTATCCACTGGGCCACCTAGTTTCTCAAGTAGAATGTTAGTGGAGGATTAAAAAACATTAATAAAGCTATTTTACCAGATTGATGATTTTGACCCACCTTGCTTAAAAAAATCAACTGTTGTAGTCAGATAATTTGTTTTAAAACCACCACCACTGCCACCACAAACATCAAATGGAAATCAAGGCTAATAGTCTTTCAGAAGTACAGGGAGGGGTGGTAGCAATTTCATATCTTAGAGGCTGAACATTCCATGGAAATTCAGAAAGAGAGAACAATTATTGCCTAATGCAAATACATAGTAGAACGTGTATTTTTGCTATTTATTCACAAAGAAAAGATATTATTTTCACAATAGCTATAATTCTATGGAAATTTTTCTGTGCCATGTCCTAGCTGATATTTACTATAGTAATCTTCCTAAAATAACATACTTAATGTTATTCCATAGTTTGAAAACTTTAAATGGTTTTCCATGCCTACTGAATAATATCTAAACCACTAGAATAAAAATCGAATAGAAAGGGATCCCTGTATGGATTTAGAACATCACAAATTAACATATCTCTGTTGTATTGTATTTTTATTTTATTTTGTTAAACATTTCCCAATTACATTTTAATCTGATCCCAGCACTAGTAAGTTTTGAGAGTTTGGGAGTTTGCAGGCTGTCTGATAAATTGCTTAGCCTGCTATTCAAGGCTCTTCTAGAGCTGGCCTGCCTTTCCAACCTAACTTCTAGCCAGATTGGGTGACTGCAGCACACACCCTACATTTTCCCGTTCTTTGCCCTTGTTCATAAATATCTACCCCTTCAAGTTCTTACTCGGCCTTTAAGGCTAACTAAAATAATACTCCCTCCTTTGGACTTCTTCCTGTTTTCTCCTAGCAGGAAGTTAGCTCTCCTTCGCTGAACTTCTTGAATATTTTACCTGCTTCTTTATAGTGTAGGTATCTGTTTCTTTGTCTTATCTTTTCTGATGTCTTTAGAGATAGGGACCAAATTTTAATCATTGTTTTCCCCACAGCACCTAGCACAGTAGAAAGTACTTAGTAAATATATGGTGAATGAATGAATTTAATGGTCTCTCTCATGTCCAAGTATTATTTCTTTAATTGTCATATGTAGTTTTTCTGTCATAATTTTATATATGTTTTCATTTTACTTTTCTAGAATGCAAGGTATGGCGAAACCCTTTAAATCTTTTCAGAGGAGCTGAATATAGAAGGTATTTTAATTTAATTTTAAAATATATTAGTAATAATGATATTTAGTTCCTGATGAAAAATGCTATGGAAACACCACATATTTTGTGAATATTAAAACTACTGCTGTTCTGTGAAATAGGTTAACAGTTTTGCCCCATTTGTGGGTGGGAAACTTAGGCAGTATAGTAGATAGAGCACCAGCCTTGAAGTCAGGAGGACCTGAGTTCAAATCTGGCCTCAGACCAAACATGACGCTAGGTGTGTGACCCTGGGCAAGTCACTTATATAGAGTATATATATTTTTTTGTTTTTGTTTTTAGGCAGTTAGGGCTAAGTGACTTGCCCAGGGTCACACAGCTAGTAAGTACCAAGTGTTTGGTCTGAGGCTGGATTTGAACTCAGGTCCTACCTGACTTCAGGGCCAGTGCTCTATCCACTGTGCCACCTAGCTGCCCTCTGAAACTAGAGTATATTAAGGCAGTGTGATTTGCCTAAGGCTTAGCTTGTAGAAACATTGTTATTATTGTTTCCTTCAGTTCAGTAAACATTTATTAAGTGCCTGCTATGTACAAAGTCCTGTGCTGGCACCGAGGGTACAGAGACAAAATCCTACCCTTGAGGTGTTTATATTCTGCTCAAATCCAATAAGCATTTTTCCTTCAATAATAATAAGAAACATTCCTTCAGAACAAATATTCTCTTGATATACAATTTAGGAAATAGATATTTTGACTCTCAGTAGTTACAGAAAGTATTCAGAAATAATCAGGATAAAAGAACATTTCACATGTCAGCATATTTCCCAATAAGACACTAAACTTCAAAAATGCTAGGGGGGCATTTACTCAAGTATTTCACTTTGAATATAAATATGTTATTATAGGACTCCACTTGGTTTTAGTTTAGTATGCTTTTCCTGGTTATTGGGGTGTGTGTGTGTGTGTGTGTGTGTGTGTGTGTGTGTGTGCGTGCGCGTGCGTGTGTGTGTGTGTGTGTGTGTGTGTGTGTGTGTTTACCTATCCTGCTTTGTGTATTTGTTTCCTAATAACGTTGGGCATTTTTACACTACATAGAAATATATATATTTTTAGTTTTGTCATCTGGCTATTACTCTTTGCTTTTGGTCACTATTGTATTTTATTTGACCATTTCAAAATTAAGAAGTGCCATCGTTCAATTTGAGGCGAATTGAAATATTTTCTTAGGCAATGATAGCAACATTTTCATGAATCTCTTGATAACTTGGGGAATAGTTCTTTGAGGTGTTTTTTGTTTTCTTAAGAGCTTTGATAAGGGAAGAAGCACCTAAACTAGTTGTGATTGGTGTCAATAGTCAGTAAACATTTATTAAGAGCCTTTAATGTGATACGCACTGTGATAATAAAGCAATTCAGACTTCTATAGCACTTTAAAATTTACAAAAATACTTTCCTTAGAACAGCCTTGTGACATAGGTAGTGTAGGCATTATTATCCTCGTTTTACAGATAGGCTCAGAGATTACATAGTGAGTATCAGAGCTGGTATTCAAACTTGGCACTTCTGACATCGTGTCCAGCATTTTTTCCACTCTACCCTACTGCATGTTTCTAATTTAAATTTTCTTTTTTAATAAATCAATAAATTATTTGAGCAAATAATAAATACAAAATAGTAATGCTTTCCAAAAGTAAAATTGACTAGCACATTTTAGCATTTAAAATAGTATCTGTTGAAGTTGGCAGGTTGTCTGTTATGCTCAATTTGAATGTTTTCTTCTGTTTTGGTAAAGATATACATGGGTGACGGGTAAGGAACCACTTACATACTACGACATGAACTTGTCAGCTCAGGATCATCAGACCTTTTTCACTTGTGATACTGATTCTCTACGTCCTTCAGATACAGGTACTCTTTTTTTTTGTCCTTCATGATATTAAGGGAAGTGGTGATTATGGAAGGTATTTAAAGATTTCTGTAGCTCTCTCTTCACAGTTATTGATTATGGTGTACTTATGTAGCTAAGAGTTAAAATTTTTTGTATAAGAAACTCAGATTGAGTTGAAACTTTCATCGAAATTGGGAACTGATTTGACATTCCTGTTAGTTTCCCTGAGAAAAAAGATACTACAGTACTTAATAAACTTTGTGAAGTTGTTTCTTTTATTATCCAAAGGAAGTCAACCTTCAGATGAACTATATCAATGACTTAATCACACATAGATTGCACAATAGTTTAGAATAGAAAATGATTATCTAAAAAATGTGTAATTGGGTAGGAGGGAGGAAAATAGGAGAAGAGAGTTGACCTGTACTTGACCCAGTGAGTAAATTAGGGATGCAAAGTGTTAGAAAAGATCAATAGTTCTCACTGAAAGGATAAAAAACATATATACTTTTAAAAAAATAATAATAATAGTTAACATTTATGTAGCATCTACTATGTGCTAGGTATTGTGCTAAGCGCTTTGTAAGTATTATTTGATTCATATAAGAATACTGGGATGTAGGTGTTATTATTATCCCCATTTTACAGTTAAGGAAACTGAAGCAAAGAGAAATTAAGTGATTTGTCCAAGGTCACACAGCTGGTAAATGTGTGAGGATGGATTTGAATTCTCACTTCCTGACTTCAGGCTCAGTGCTCTATCCGTTGTGCCACCTAGCCACCCTAAAATAAAGGTCTTCAGAAAACAAGCAAAACCATACAGTCTAAAGATATAGACAGTGTGTCTTCGTTGAAATTATGTTTACCATAACACATTTCTGCTGGGCTAACTGTATATGAACCCAAGGTAATTGGTATATATAGTTAGTGGAAATTGTAAATGGAAATACAAGGTAGAGGAAATGCTTTAAAGGTTTATAGTTTCTAGCAGTGTGGCATAACAATAGATTCAACATTCATTCAATATTCAACAAGCATTCATGAAGATATTACACTATGACTAAACTAGATTTATAATCGGAATGCAGGACTGGTTCAGTATTAGGAAAACTATAAACATAATCGACTGTGTTAATAGCAAGGACAGTAAAAATCGTATGAGAATATGTTAATAGATGCAGAAAAGGCTTTTTTTTTTTTTAGGCAGTTGGGGTTAAGTGACTTGCCCCACGTCACACAGCTGGTAAGTGTCAAGTGTTTGGTCTGAGGGCGGATTTGAACTCAGGTCTTCCTGACTTCAGGGCTGGTACTCTATCCACTGCACCACCTAGCTGCCCCAAAAAACTTTTGAGAAGATACAATACCTATTCCTGTTAAAAACATTGGAAAGCATAGGAAAAATTTAATCTTTCCTTAATGTAAGTGGTATGTATCTAAAACCAAGAGCTAGGATTATCTGTAATAGGGGTAATCTAGGAGTCTTTTCAGTAAAATCACAGATAAAGCAAGGATGTCCATTATCACCACTACTATTCGATATAGTACTAGACAATCTAGCTATAACAGTGACAAGAAAACGAAATTGAGAGAATAATCAGAGGAATAAAAAGAGGAAACAGAATGTTCTTTTTTTGCAGGTGATATGATGGTTTACTTAGAGAACCTTAACATTAACTATAAAGTTAGTTGAAACAATTAACTTGAGCAGAGTTGTATAATATAAAATAAATCTACACAGATCATCAGCATTTCTGTATATTATCACCAAAATCCAGCAGAAGAGGTAGAAAGAGAAGTTCCATTTAGAATAATTGCAGACAGTATAAAATCCTTGAGAGTCCACCTTCTAAGACACATGGAGACTATGTGAACATGATTACAAAACACTCTGCACCAAAGACAAGCATAAATAGTTGGAGAAATATTAATTGCTCATGGATGGGCCAATATGATAAAAATAGCAACACTCTCTAAATGAATTTACTTACCCAGTGCCATACAAAACTACCAAAGGATCATTTTATAGATCTAGAAATAAATGATAAACTCATCTGGAAGAACGAAAGGTCAAGAATATCAAGGGAATTAATGAAAAAAGTGGGAAAGAAGGAGCCTAGCAATACCAGATCTCAAACTGTATTACAAAGTAGTAATTGTCAGAATAGTATGATACAGGTCAAAAAATAGGTTGTTCAGTAGAGCACATTAGGTACCAAAATATAGAAGCAAAAGAGCACGACAGATTAGCGTTGGATAAACCCAAGAATAAATTCCAGCTATTGGGATAAGGCAACCCATTATTTGACAGAAATTCTTGGGAAAACTGGAAAACAATCTGGAAGAAACTAGGTATAGTTTAACAACTCACACCATATAGATTTCAAATGAGTACATAATTTAAGCTTAAAGGGTAAAATCATAAGCAAATTAGAAAAGCAAGGAAGAAATTACATCTGGTCAGATCTGTGGATAAAGGAAAAGTTCATGACCAAACAAGATAAAGAAGGATTGTAAAAGGTAAATTTTAATTACATATAATGAAAAGGTTTTTACACAGACAAAATCAGTGCAGCTAATATTAGAAGAGAAGCAGGCAAATAGGAAAAAGCTTTGCAGCAAGTTTCTCTGGTAGAGGCCTCGTTTCTAAGATACACAAGGAATAAGAGCCACTAAATAATTGATAAATGGTTAAAGGATGTGAATAGGTAGTACCTAAGGGAAGAAATCCAAACTATCAATAACTACTGAAAAACTGCTCCAGATCACTAATAATTAGAGAAATGCAAATTGAAACGAGGTTTCACCTCATACCCATCAGATTGGCAAAATTGACAAAAAATGGAAAATGACAAATGCTGGAAGGGTTGTTTGTGGAAACATGTACATCAATACGTTGTTGGTAAGCAATGTGGAATTATGCCCCCAAAGTTGTTAAATTGTGTATACCAGGGATGGGAAACCTGTGACCTTGAGGCCACATGTGGCTCTAGGTCCTTAAGTGCGGCCCTTTGACCGAATCCAGACTTCACAGAACAAATCCTTTTATTAAGGGGATACACTATATATCTTTGACCCAGCAATACCACAATTACATCTATATCCCAAAGAGATCAAGGAAAGGAAAAGGACCCAAATATGCAAAACTATTTATAGCAGTTCTTTTTGTGATGTCAAAGAACTGGAAACTGAGGAGGCACCCACCAATTGGAAAGTGGCTACATAAGTTATAGTATATAAATATGGTGGAACACTACTGTGCTGTAAGAAATGGTGAAGGGGATAGTTTCAGAGAAATCTGGGAAGACTTTTATGAACTGATGCAAAGTGAAGTGAGCAGAACCAGAAGAGCACTTTACATAATAACAATAATATTATATTATGTGTATGTGTTATAAAGACAACTTTGAAAGACTTAGGATTTCTGATCAATTTATCAGTAAACATTATTAAGTGTCTACTATGTGCCTGGCACCGTGTTAAGCATTAAAACTAAAGAGGAAAGAGACAGTCCTTGCGCTCCAGAAACTTATAATCTAATGGAGACAACATGCAAACAGAAATACAGAAAGCAAGCTATATACCAGATAAATAAGAAATAATTAGCAGAGGGAAACCACTAGCCAGAGAAAATGCCCAGAGCAGAAAGATTGTTGTTGGAACAGCCAGGAGGCCAATGTCATTGGATTGAAGAGTAGATGTTGGGGAGTAAGGTGTAAGAAGACTGGAAAGGTAGGAAGGGCTAGGTTATAAAGGGCTTTGAAGGCCAAACAGAACATCTTATATTTGATCCTGGAGACAATAGGGAGCCACTGGAGTTTACTGAGTATGTAGGCAGGTGACATGATCAGACCTGAGTTTTAGAAAATCATTTTAGTGACTGAATGGAGGAGGGGGGATTGGTGTTGGATTGGGGAGAGACTTGAGGCAGGCAGACCCACCAATAGGCTATTACAATGCAATTATATTCAAAGTAATTTCTAGGAAAAGAAACTGGCAACTGAAGGAATCTGGATATTTATCCTAATGAAGGCAGTGTTTAAGCTGCACTTTGAAGGAAACTCAGGATTCTTAGAGGCAGAGGTAAGGGAGCAGTGTGTTCCAGAAGGGAACAGTCAATGCAGAGACATCGAGGTGGGAGTGTTGTATATGGGGAATAAAAGTAGGCCAGTCTGACTGGATTTTAAATGGCTTTAAAAGTCAGATAAAGGAGTTTTATATTTTATCCTACAGCTAAAGAGGTGTCCTGGAGCTCACTGAGTCAGGGAGTGACACGGTCAGAGTTGTGCTTTAGGAACATCAATTTGGCCATTGCATAAAGAATGGATTGGAGAGGAGAGACCAGTAGTACGGGTTAAAAGTGATAAAGGTCTTTATTAGGATGTCACAGTGTGAGTGGAGAAAAGGGGATAAATTCAAGATATATTCTGGAAATAGAATTGACAAAATTTGGCAACTGATTAGATACATGAAGTGAAGGAAAGAGAAGAGTTGAAGCAACTCTGAAGTTTTGAACCTGGGTGACTGGAAGGATGGTGATGCTTTGGGCAGCAATAGAAAAATTAGGAAAAAAGGATAGTTGGAGGGGAAAGATAATGATTGTTTTAGAGGGCAGAGAAATAACAGCAGTAGCAGAAAAACCAGTGCTACTTACTTCTTTACATGTTTCCCTGCAGCAGCCACAACCCCGCCTTCAAATTTATAGTATTTAACTTAGCTTCCCACTCTTCTGAAATAGTTGAAGTGATCCAGCAGGAAAGCTCTCAAATTTCCTCTTCTCTTCATCAAAACATGTTAGCATCATCATAAATTCTTCATTCTATCTCAGCTGAAGGTAACCCTGCTCCTTTTTAAGCCTAATCCCTCTACCTGCATCTTTGATCCCATGTGCCCTTGATTTTATTACACTTCTTTCAGAATTTCCAACATTCACCTCATCTTTGTCATGCATTTTCAGTCTTTTCCTCCTTTCCATTGGTTGCTTCCTATTTGTCTATAGATATGCTTAGGTCTTCCCAATCCC